ACAAGTTTTAATACATGGCAACATGAAAGGAAGAAAGAATATGAATAACTTCCCTTCAATTGTTTAAATAAATAAATAATAAGTAATGTCCAATTAATGTATAATAAAATATTATGTGTGGCCTGACATCAGCCTTTCTTTTAGCTTATATAAAGCCATCACCTCCATTTGAAGATCCATGACTCGTTTAGTTGAGGTGGCAAAGTAATAGCGAGCCTGTCTTTTCTCTCTTTCTCTCTCTCTCTCTCTCTCTCTCTCTCTCTCTGAAGTTTTGTAGTTATGGGTTGAGAGTTAGGGTTACCATGGGACATGGAAAATCTTCCTTAGATTTGATTTCATATTTGACTATTTAGTTTGGTGAAGAGAGCTTTCTTCAGTCCACTCATGGGTGGCAGTAGGATTTAATTAGCTGCCGAGTCATTCATCCAAATACTGGGTAAATTAGCTCAGGACACCCAGTAAATGTGTGAATGAAGCGGGAGACAAATTGGATCTTAAGCTTCCTGTACTTGGACTGAAGGGAGCTCCCTCAACTATATATTTCAATATATTCCTCTTCTTAATTATCCTATTTATGTATTTGTTTACCATATCTTAATTGATTTGCTTCAACTGCTTATCCACTTAAGTATGCTTAGCCAATATCTTAATTCATAATTAGCTTCACTTTTTCTTATGTTTATCTTGTCGGCTACCCTCGAAAGGGAGCTATATATATATATATATATATTTATATTTAAGCCTAATATCTTAGGCTTGTATCTATCTATTCTTGTAGCTTGGCTTGCCTCTTTTTTTTTGTGTATAAAATAATCATTGCCTTCAGTTTCTCAAGTAGGGCTGGAACTCTGAGCTCTCTACCCTGTGTTTTTTTTAACCTGTAAATCTAACTAAGGGATTTTATTGGTACACAGGAAGCACTTGTATTTGTGATTTGTTTTGCAGTTAGGGTTTCGTGAAGTTGCTAATCTCTGGAGTTGGAGAGGAATAAAATATTGAAGCAGGCAACGCATGAGGAAGAAGAAACCTACAAAGCTCACACGTTCACACGCTCACACGCTCACACGCTTTACAAAACATTAGCTTCTTGGTTCTTGCTTTCCCACAACAAGAAGTTCCCAGACATGTCTCTCCTACAGGCTTTGCTCAATTACCAAAATATCCTTGGCGTACATAGTTCAAACAACTTGAGTTGGCCAGAAAGTTGTGTTAATGAATGTTTCGTGTATTTTTTTTTTGGTGGCTTTGTATACATTTATTTGTAACCTTCAATGCAAAGGGTGAAAAATGTATATATGCTATGTCTTTTAGCATGCATAGTGTTATTTCTGTCTCCATGTCAATGGTCGGGATCTTCTGTCTGGAATTTGTACATCAGCCTATTTGATGTGTTTCTTGTTGAGCTGGATAATGTTTCTATTTCTTTTTGTGTTGAGTGTGTGGTAGTATTTCATCAAGTAACCGCACCATAGACTCAAATAAAAAAGAGTGGGGAAGAGGCAAGTGATGGAAACACTTACCTCAACTCAATAGTAAATTTACACCACATACGAACGCTGCTCTCACAATAACTAATCATGTAACGAACATTTATTCCAAAATAATTACTCACAAATGAACAATAATATTGTCATTATTTTTCGGGTAACCATATTGTTATTTTAAAGATGTAAGTTAAGTTTCTTCTAAGATTGTGGTCTGGCCCTTAGCTAGGCGAATGAGTTGCTCTTATACTTCGCCTTCCCCAAAACGAATCTCTGAAAAGAAAATATAATCTCCGAGTCCCAATCGCAGGTGTTTCTAACAGTGTGCCTTTAGTTTTCTTTTCTTTACTTCCGTCATTTTATGATGTTTTTTCCTTTTCTTTAACTCTACAAGCATACAAACACAAATACCAAATTTGGATGCAAGTCTCTCTCTCTCTCTCTCTCTCTCTCTCTCTCTCTCTCTCTCACTTTTACAAAATCCAACGGTTCTTTCTCGTGCTTTTGATGGATTATTGCACCATCTTTAACAAACATGAGTGCTATTGTTTTTGTCATTACTGGAATGCAAACATTTGGCGGAATTATGAGGAATTTTCCACGTGTCAATTTCCCACTGATATATACTTCTCAAGGGGGTCTATAGTTTGTGCTCATCATATAGTTGGGATTGACGAGGAGTTCTGCATTAGCTTTATTAAAATCCCAAGTAGTATAAAGTACTATCTTCCCTTTATTCTCTGGGTCCTGGATGTTCCAACCCATTTGGAAAAAGGTTTAGCGTTGGTGAACTTGATTTTGATTTCTTAATCCCAATTAATTTTCCAGCATCTCTCTTAAGATTTGTCGCAAAATCTTTCTGGAAAACAATGAGATAGCGATGCTTCTTCTGTCTTTGTTACGTGATGAAGAGTCTGAAATACGACCAGCTCAAGATCTCAATATAATCACTGTATAATTAATGCATTATTAACTTTTTTTGGTCTAGCTAATGTCAGATCTTAATCATGTTTGTTTTTTATACAGATGGGTTCACATGCTTAATCAGCTGCTGTGGAAGAATCCAAATCTAGTCAGCATGATTAGTAAGACAGTGAGGTGATTGGGATTTTTTTTCTGAAGATATAGTTTAAGATCTTTGTTTTAATCAAGGGGTGCAAGACCCATCCACTCATTGTGTTTTGATATATTAAGCATAATCAAATCTTCATCTAGTTCTCTCTTATTCGATCTCTTGACTTTTGTTCTTTACACTTATCTATCAGATCTCTTTAAAATCTTTCATGGTGTACCACCATCCTAATTTACAACGGCTTTCTTGCTCTCAAAGAGCATACTCAAAATTATATATTTTGTGGTTTATAAGAGACTCGAGGCCTACCAGGGGTGGGTCATTGTCAAACTCTCGTTTTAAATACGGGCTAAGTGCTCTACCACTAAAGCTATAAGCTCTTACGTATTAAAATGCACGAGAATTATAAGACATCCATTTAGCATCGAAAGGCTGCATAATCATTTTTTTCTTCTTTTAACTTACAACTTTCTCTCGCATAATCACAATATAGCTGTTTTTCTTTTTTAAGTCATCACAATCAAGCTGTTTTTCTTTTAAGTCACCTAAGAATGAATGTCGTTTCTAAACACTGGCTGCTGTACGGCATGGAAACAGAAAATACGACAATGGAACTTCAAAAAAAACCAATAAACGACTGCACATGTAAATATAAGTTAGGGGTTGAAGATTAAAGAAGATAAGGCCCTCTCCTCCCTTTATCGAGTTCCCTTTGCATGCAGTGCAGCAGCTGAAATGGTGGAAGCAAAAGGGTTGGAGATATTTGAAGTTGGGCCCTGTGAAGATGCGTACAGAATGGGCTTCCTGATAGGCCAGAGGTTTTCAAACCAGATAAAGAGCAGGTTGGCCAATGACCTCATTCTTCAAAACCAGCTCCTCCCTTTTGCTCAAACCCCAGAAGCACGGCAACTTCTCCAATCTCTCACTGAAAATAATAGAAACAAGTTTCCAAGATATTGGGAGGAGCTCATAGGAACAGCAGAGGGAAGTGGGGTGCCAGTTCTTCAGGTAATACATGCTTATATGATTAAAAATTAAATTGTCCCATTCATTAATTGCATTAATTGGTCACATTGTGGTTGTTTAATTATCATGTGCAGATTATACTAATCAACTTCAGGAAGGAGATTCTTGCATTTCTTCCTAAGACGGTGATAAACCCGGGAATCGATACCCCGGATGACTGTTCTGATGTTCTTGTTGCTAGTGAGTCCATGGCAGTTGTGGCACACAATGAAGATGCAAACGTTGCTTTGGTTGGCCACACGTATGCTCATTCTCTTTCTCTTGCATTTTTTCCACTTTTGCAAATCTTGTGACAATAAGTCAACGTCTTGTTGACCATTTTGCAGCTATTTGATAAAGGGAACTCTGCTCAATGGGCTATCGTTCATTGCTTATACTTATGCAGGGGAGCTCCCTAGCTGTGCATTTGGGCTCAAAAGTCATGGATTGGTATTTTTTTTTTTTTTTTTATAACTATATTGCAGTGTTTGAAATCAAATGACAGGAGCAAAACCAAATTGTTTCAATATAAGTTAAACCAAATTGTATGCTGAAAAAGTTATCCATTACATAACCTACAGGCTTTTACGCTGAATTCGGTACCCCCTTCTGAAAGTGAGATTGTTGCTGGAGGCATAGGAAGGAACTTCATATCACGAGACCTCCTCGAAGCAGCAAGCATTGATGACGCATTATGTGTAAGGCATGGTAGTGTTGAGTTCTTTAAGCATCTGTGTTTGCTTCATTGTCAGTTGTTTTAATGGCTTGAATTGCCTCTTCAGAGAATCAAATCATCAGAAGTTTCCATTGGACATAGTTACAATCTGATTGAGACTAGGACACGCAAAATTTCGAACGTAGAAACTGCGTCAAGAAACCGGGTTTCAGTTTATGAGGTCGGTGCAACACCATTCTTCCGTGCAAATATGTATCTACATCTGCAGGTTGATCAGGTAAAGCAAAATTGTATGCCAAACAGATTGGTGGTACAATTTAGTAGATTCTACACAGAAAAGTAAAATCAAATAGTTTGAAGCCGATCATTCAACTTGCTTCAATTTCAACTAAATTAAAATCATTGGTTTCTGTGAAGGTACAAGATGAGAACTCAAAAACAAGGCAAAGCAAAGCGGCTGTGCTACCTAAAAGATCAAAAGAAGATTTCCTGTCACTTCTAGGAGATACAGATGACCCAAAGTACCCCATCTATATGATAGGTGATTTAGAACATAGATTAAACTTCCTTTTTGTCCCCTCCAAGACGTTTGTGGTAACACTGTTTGCCGTGCTTCCAGGTCCATTGCTTTACACTCTGTGCACAGCTATGATCGATTTGGATGAACAAACACTGTCGATTGTTGAAGGGAACCCAAGAAAAGGAGAAATCTCTCACATCTTCTCTCTGTGTTCAAAAGATTTCAAAATGCCATAACAAAAGCTCCAAGCAGCCTACTATTTCATCTAGTTGCATTTAAGGGACTTCTTCTGGAGCTCCAAGGCGGGTTCGTAGAGGCCTAACATGTGCCCATCAATACAGCGCACGGATGCAACCTGGCCACAAGATTGTTACATGAAATGCTGCATCCACAAGAGCAATAATAGAAAAATAAATTACATCGAAGTTCTTGTTAGAATTTCGGTCATCACCTTGCCATGGATTTCGTATTTGATAGGGCCATCTAGCTCAGCTCCCAAAGCCATTAGTTTTGTCATTGTTTGATTAATGTCCTTCACTGTGAAAGACAGAAGTGAAGAGTATCCCATTCCCTTCTGCATGACATGATCACTGTGAAACTTGATTAGCAGCTACCATTTTCGATCAAATACTCCACAACCATAATTGTTTTATTGTTAAATAAACAGAAAACCCAGTAACACCATGTTAATAGGATCAAAGTCCAAGACCAGAACTTCATTTTTATGTTAACACACAAACACATACAAAATGTAATATTTCATGGCAATCGGTGAGTAAACAACTCTTGTAGACAAATAAGCAAACAGGTAGCGTGCATAAAACTCCCAGCCTTGGGCAGAGAGAGTTACTTGGGGGATTGCATGAGGGCAAGTTTGAGTGGGCCGGATTGAAGCTCAGCCCAGCGAAGAGTACATACATCGACGGTGAAGTCCAAGCCTTCCGAGTAGAACCGAGCAGCTTTTGGCACGTCCTTGTGCGTCTGTAGTATCCACCTAAACGACGCCGCTGCCATCTCTCTCTCACTCTATAGAAAGCTGAGAGGGACTATAATATGTTGATGATTAGGTAATTCTTGTCTTTCTTTTATTTTGTCTATACTTCACTAAATAAATATGATCAAAATATTGAGATAATTTAAAATCATTTTGTTATGCTTTATTTTTGTTTCATCATATGATATGATGACAAGAATTTCTTTATTATTTTATACAAGCGATATTGGAGAGAGAAGAATCGAACCTAAGACCTAAAGTACAATATATATACTCTTAATCATTTGAACTACAAACTCTTCCTAAAATTGGCAATTTTTCACATGTTAGTTTAACTTCAAGTAATTCCGTAATGTGAATTCAAAAAACTTATTAAACATACAATTTATGGCTTTTTTTTAAAGGAGTTTCACTAAAACACTCAAAATGGAGGTTGAAATTATAAAAAAACCCAACACCCAAAACACTTTATAAACATACCCAAAATCCATTATTACACACACTCAAAACTCATTTATAAACACACCCAAAAAGTTGACTTTGGGATTGATTTTGGGTGTGTTTCTATGTTTAAATAATGCTTGGATTTTTTTATAAATACATGTCTAGGATTGGGTTTATTTATAAATTTGTATTTTTTTAATCACCGGAAGAGGATTTGAACTTAGAACAGGATTCGAATTTAGAACCTCTTCCAACATGAAGAAAAAGAGTACCACTAAAGAAAGAGACCTATGATTTTCTTTCCTCAACTTTCTTAACTTCCTTTCCCAACCTACATTACATGGCACATTATACGGCCAGAAAGCATAACTCAAAATTGTTGTTGGTCTTCAACTCTTTATGATCTGTGTAGGCTATGGAACGTTTTAACATTACACTCATATACAGACTTCTCTTTAAAAACCTACCAGAGATGGAGAAACAGAACTCTAATGAGTGAGAACAAAGATATCCATATCAAAAGAGTGTCACGGAAATATTCACAAGAAGCAAATCCCCACAACCAGCAGGCAATGCAGGATCAGCAAACCCTTTCAGAGTGTTCAAGCCAACATCTCCTAAGAAGATCAAGAGGTGTTTTTGGAAGGTTTTGAACGCGAACGTTGTCCCCTCGACCTTGCTTCAAGAAGCTTTGCCTTCAAGGTGTTCTCCCTTGTCCGCAGGGGCAACTTTGAAGAAGCTTCGGACATGTCACGAACCGGGGATGCCAGTCGTGCCATCCACTGTCTTACTGGACTTGGCTGGTTCCTCCGTCCAATATTACTGCAGGAAGCCTCATTGTAGTTATTTTCAGAATGTACATGCCCAACATCTGACATCAAAAGTTGACTTCTTATACGGTTTTCAGCCATGTGATTTGAATTAGAAACCTGGCTTTCATCTTGTTTATTTCCTTTTCTGTAAGTCTCGTCTTCTGTGGCTTCACAATGTTCAGAATTTTGGGGTATGCTTATTTCGGTTGGCTTCCCTTCTTCTGCTTTCCCCTGCTCTTTATTTACTATCTGGGACTTATCATTTTCATTGCACGACATGGCCCAAGCCATCTGTTCTTCAAACTTAACTTGCAAGCTGGAGGGAGTACGGCTTCTTACCCTTTCAGGTTTTTTCTTTGAGGGTTCCAATTTCAACTTTTCATCAATATGATTATCCACAGCTTCATCCCCATGCAATTTGAAGTCACTGTTGGTTGGCTTATTGAGCTCAAAACAATTTGAATCACTGCCTAAAGAATCATCTTCTCCACCCATGTCTCGAGGAGCACTCACAGCCTCATTCAGAGGGGCAGATTCCAGTGAGTTCTTACGATCCCTTGGCAACAAGTTTTCAGTATTCTTAAGAGTGCTCATATGTTTAGCTCTAAGGAAGGTCTCTATTTCAAGGCTTAATTTATCCACTATTGAGTTCTTTCCTGAAAAACCACACTCGGCTTCTTCTAGCTGCATCTGCATCCGTTCATCCATCCATGATTCAGAAACATGGAGAATCAATCGATCACGATCAGATCTTCCAGTCCAATCTTTGTCAGATTTCTGTTTTAAAAAATGCACCTCTTGTTCATATTCTTTTATTCCCTTAGCAAACTCATCACATAGTTCTTCCAACAACTTCCTTGATTTTCTCTCTCTTTCAAGCTCTTTCACAGAATTGGAAAGAGAAGATTTCAGTTCAGAAAGCTCCCGCGCTAACTTCCTGTGTAGGCTTTCTGATCGTTTTCTTAACTTCCTCTCATCCTCTAGCTCATCCCTCACAGATTGAACTGCAGCATGGATTCGATCCTGTTCTTTGCTCTTCCTAACTAGTTTATCTTCTCCAATTTGCTTCATCAAATCATCTAGCTCATGTCGATCAGCTTGCCGCACCCGAACCAACTCTTTGATCTTGACACGGGCATGATCCAACTCTGCTTTCAACGCTTTTATTAATGCTACATTGGAGGTATGCTGTTCCTCCAAGCTCCAAATTCGGTTCAAGACTTTCAGAAGTTCCGTAGATGGTTTAAGATTATAATGTGATCCACCAATCCTTCCCTTAAAGTCTAAAGAACTGCTAGGAGTGACTGCAGGGTCATAAGGAGCCACCTGAAAAAGAGAGGTGAGAAACTATGCAGAAGGTTTGAGAGCATAGAAAGATTTGTTATAAATGAGGCACTAACGAAAAAACTTTGCGAATGATACTAATAAGACATGCTTCACAGATGATAAGCACAGCTTCAATCATCATACACACTTTACAGACACCTGATTCATACAAGAAATATTGGAATACTATGTGTTATGTGGTTCCCTCATCATAATTTGAATGAACGCAACACAGCGCTCATGGATCATAATTACAGCTTGTGCTTTCATAACATTGCTTCTCTCTACCGGCACAAATCTAGGTGCAACTTCTTGAAATTTCAAGAATACTTAGTTCCATAGTTTTCCAGATAGTATAAGGACACAAATTAGACAATCTCAGTTCATGCATTATGAGTTTGTGTGGGTCACATCATACCATCCTAGTGAGCAGTAACCCAAATGAAAACTGCCTTATTTCTACTAAAAGAAAATTTTGTAGTAGTAGCATTGCCAGAAGAAACCAAATTGTCTTATATCAAAATCAACTTTGCCTACAATCTCAATTTATATATCCTTCAAAGTAAAGGCCCAAAAAGCATTTGACTAAGTATAAACAGATGCTTACCTCCATGGAACTACCATAGCTTGCAGGAGATACAGGCTGCAAGACGTGATTGTTCAACTTGTTTCTTTCGATGGTTCGATGGTGTTGCATCAATGATGCAGCAATATGCCTCCCCAAACTGCTTGCACTTTCTGGCTGGATTAGGTAATCACAGAAAAATCAGTTGCCAACTGAGAAACTTCAAATTCCACTGTTTCTGAGGATGGATCAAACATGAAGGTACTGCAACTACAAGTGCATACTTCTTTGGATAAAGTCTAGTTCATTGTGTTTTAGTGTAAAAGAAGGAAATGGGAGCACAATCAAGTTCCAGAAATCCTACAGTTGGCATCAACAAATTCTAATCTGGTGCTGAGTGGGCAGAAAGGAGCGTTTTATCAGTATGAATCTATTAATGAAATAGCACACTGAACTAAGGCACTAAACTTAGAACATATTAAAAATTCTAAAAATTATATATTTCTTTGGAAATAAAGAAAGGAAGAAATAATAATAAGCATTGACCATCACTCACACGTAACCCTAAGGCTCCATAAATCTCACAGAAACAGCAATAAATCAACAAGAGCAGCAAAAGGACAGGATGTATCCATCAACATAAATATCATTCCTTCACATGATCTGGCCTCTTAAAAAAAAACAGAGCAAATAATAAACAAAAAAACACAGACCCAATTTTTCTTTTGGTATATAAAACAGACCCAATTTCAACATCAATCAGAAACAAAGGAACAAAGTTACACAAACACAAAAAAAAACTCAATTGAAAACATACCAAAAACTTTGGAAAGGAAGAGAGAAAAAATTCAGAACCAGTACCTGGTCAGGAGAACTGGGAGAATTATCGGCCAAAAAGTTAGACAGATCAAGACCCTTGTCTTTGCTGAGGTGGTGGTGGAGCTGAAGATGTCTCAACCTAGGAGGTGGAGCAGCAGGACCACCATTATTGTGAGGAGCTCTGTGCATCTTTGAGAGGGGAAGATAGTGGTAGTTTTGAAACTCCCAAAGAGCAGCAGCTAGTTTTCTAGCTGAGACAGAGGAGGTGGTAGTGTTACTGGTAAGGTGAGGGTCTTTAATGATGGTATTATGGCCAAAAGGGCAAAGTCTCCATGAGGACACTACTGGAGTACTTGGGCCACTTCTGCTTTTCCCTCTCCTCCTCCTCAACTTTTCTCCCAAATTTTCCTCCTTTTCTGCTCCCCCTTCCCCACTTTCTCCTTCCCTTTTCATCTCTTTCTCTCTAGGCTTCCTTTCCCCAATGCTTCTTTCTCTCTCATCTTTCTTTTCTCAATAAAAATATTCCTTTTGGGTTTGGAACTACAGTTGCACGGTGGTGTTTATAAAAATGTTCATAATGTTTGCAATACAATGGTTTTTCCTTTTATTGTTTATTTTTTTTCATTGCTCATATGTTGTATTTCTTTGTTCTCTCTACTTAAATCAGTTCATCGTCGCTTGTATTTTTAGCTTTTAAGAGCATTTATCGGTAGCTTCGCTTGTGATTTGAATGTTTAAAAACATTTATCAATGCACTTAAGAACCTAAGTTTGATTCCACACCCCTCCAATACCGTGTGTATATATACATATATATATATATTATAAAATGTCAGTTCATCATATGTGTTCTCCCGTTACCAAAAATAAAAAGTTGTAAGGAAGTGGTTGGTTGGATAACATTTAGGGAAGTTACCAGCCAAGATTTGATTGATTGTACAGATCAATTGTTTATACATAAGTGTTAAATTGTAAAAAAATATATATATAAAGAAAAAAAAAGTATTAAAAGCGAAGTATCCAAACTCTCTGTGTATGAATTATACAAGAATTACAGCTTAAGTTGTTCAGTAACAAAATACTCTCTTTTTTTTATCTTTTGGATATTACTATCTGCCCAATCTATACAAAATGGAGAAGACCTGTCCCTGGTTGAAAACTTGAAACCAGAAATTCCAAACTATCTATTGCAAATAGGAACCCACCCCCCCAATCATAGGGTCTACCTCCAATATGGGGATCAGTGTCTTTAAATGGGGCCCTCTCTTCATTTTCTGGTCAGTGACCTACTAACAAATTAACAGAGGCAATTCATTTGATCACTCTTTGCATCCTTTGTTTTTGGTCATCTCATTTCTTTCTTTTTCTCTGTCCAGAAACACATACTTCTACAGCAGCATAGCATCTGCTGCAAAATGGGCATATATTCTACAGAACAGTATAATTGGGTCCAATCAGTTTTTTAATCAGACGGTGCAGAGAAAAAAAGATATGTTGCGTGTGTTTTCATGCCATATCTTTCCTTGACGTGTTGGAGTTTCACTTTGAAAGTAAGTACTCACCTACTACATCTCAAACTCATATTTACTGAAGCAACAACATGCATGCCTATTAATTCTCGTCGACAAGGAAACCGGAAATGGGTCCTTGAGTTTTAATCCAATACATATGGTAGGGTCCGATTTGTTTGTTTGTTCCTTCGGGATACGGAGAAGTAAGTGTCCAGTGGGCTTTGGAATTGCTCAGCATAGAGAATCCTTGAAACTCAGCCATCACCTGATTGGGCCACAACAATTGCAAGGTGCCCAAGGGTGGAAAGGCTACAATGAATGGTACGGGTGAGGGAATCAATCCAACCATTGAACTTTTTTATTGGTTGAAAGCTTGAACCGATGAGCTCCTCCAACTTTTCTAATGGCATATTTGTGAACCCCACATGCACATCCACGTTTTTTATGTCCAATATTAGAGCCCTTTTTTGATTTCACTCAACTTTTCTGTATTGATGAAGAAGAAAATGCTTAATGATGATGGCACCACCCACCAAGCCGCCAAACAAGGATTGATTTGTATATATTCACACTATAATTATATGTATAAGTGATCGAATGAGGGAGGTCAGAATCACTTATATATGGTTAGCCGACATCTTGTTTGGGAGCAATTTTAAATATGTCAGAATCACTTATATATGGAGGAAAGCACATCCCGCGTGCCTCTCCATAAAACAATCACTTAAAGTAATTATTAACCTATCTAGAATCACTTCTTAACGAGTCATAGTGGTATCAAAGCAATTATAATCTGGACAACTCAAGCTCTCCTTGATCCAAATTGAAGTCATGAATTATCAAAACTGACCAGGCACATACATGCAACGTTTATTTTTGTTGAATTGAATGATATCTTAGGGCTAAATTAAACCTACGCCTCAAAAACGGCCAACAAAGGCTTCAAAGGAAAAGCATATCAACCCATGTGTAGCTGCCTGGATTGACCTAACACAAAGTGTTAGGTCGTGGATATTCATAAATTAATCAGAATATTGATGGTGATTGGCTAGGTCAAATATATTTATAAGTTCATTTTCAACTATATATGGAGCCGTGGGAGCAGCAACCACATTCCAACTTTGGAGTTAAAAAAATGTACATGATTTATCTTGCTAAGTTATATATGTTTTTCTAAAGGTGATGAGTGTGCTTGTTAATATAAACCATTTATATTTTAAGTCTCCTTTTGGGATTATTATCTGATGAAGGATCAATCAATAACATTGTAAAATCCCTTATCAACTAATTGTCGGCAAATGAACAAAACAATTAACACTCCATACGCTAATTAAAACAATTTTCAATTTTTTTATTTTACTTCGGAAAATTATCTTGAGGGAATTCTAAATCATCGGATCACTGGATAGATTCGAACTATATAATTTTTTATTTTCTTTAAAAGAGACATAATAAATCGTCTCTGTATTTATATAGTCTAGTATGGCAATCAGTTTCTCCTTTCCTTGTAAAAGGATAGTTGTTGGAAAAATAAAAAAACACAAACTATGGGTTTGCTATAAAATAGTATCACTGTGCTATGACTTTCTTATTTTTAAATTGCCCTTTTGGCCCTTGATAATCTGAAGAAGACCTTGTGATTTATGACTTATGTACCAAGGCAAGTAGGATCTTCGTTTCCTTCATATTCCTAATAGTAAGGCCATTCATGTAGAAAGCTGAATTTCTTTAGTGCAATGATCGTTCATACCCTAAGAAAGTGGGCAACACGTAGGCGGTTCATTGCAAGCACCAAAACGTGTAAAACCCTTTGATTTATTTGCTTCTCGGTATGTTTGATTATATTATCCTTGTGATAGATGTTGCGTTATACATTGAGTGGTGATTTCCCCACTCCTTTTTCTCCTATTTTATCCACTTACACTCCTTTTTTATAACTAAAAAAGGAGTGTAAGTGGATAAAATAGGAGTGGGGAAATCATTGCCCTATACATTTCATCATTACATATATAATTAGTTTCTCTTTTTAGTTTCTCTTTTGACCAGATTTGGGGTGGAGGATGGGGGCTGGGGGCTATGGTAGACGAAAAGTAAAGTTTGGTCTTAGACGAGGGACCATTACTACAATTTTGCCAAAATGAAATACTTTATTAGCATGTGTGAAACGAAAAGTAATGCGGCGCAACAATTGATGTTAAGAATTCTCTAGTAATTTCTTCAGGAATAATTTAGCTAATCAATTGTCGCATTGCATCACTTTCCGTTAGAAAGATATGTATGTCAAAAATTTCTTAGTAATTTCTTCGGAAATAATTTAGCTAATCAATTATCGCACTGTGTCACTTTCCGTCTCATATATGCCAGTATAGTATTCCTTTTTGACCCGTTTCCAAGGAAATTTGTTTAGATTCATTATTGCCATAGCTTTAGAAAGTCAGACAAGTGAATTTAGGGTTCCCAGGACCAGAAGTAATAAGATGTTTGGATGGTTTGCTGTTGACATGGTTTGCCGTAAGATAAGGTCTCTTCTGCCCAAAAAATAATATTTATAGAGTAAATTTAGGTTTTAGCCAAAAAAAAAATTTCACTTTTGGAAAAAGCTAAAACTTTTTCAAAAAAGACAAAAAAACCTCTCAACTTTCAAATCAAAGACATGCAAATGTAAAGGATTCCTTAGGAAATCCAAAAATAAATAAGGGCAATTTTGTCAATTTTGACTTTTTTTACAAAATTTCTCTCTCCTTTGTATTTTTCCAAAATCTCCCCGCACGTACGTGGGAAAGACCGACCAGTGTGGCAGTGACCACTTCCACATTTACTTAATAAACGTATTGTAAAACGTAGAAGAGTCATCTTTTTTTTTTCTTTTGTATATAAGGTTTTTGAAGAGTGTTGGCCACTATCACTCAATATAAGGTCTTTTATTATTAGAGTTGACCATTTTTAGAGTTGTGTTTTTCATCCCTTTATCTTGTATTTGCATGTTTTTTTTAATGAAATTGCCACCTTACGACAACAAATAAACTAAAATAAAACTCAGTCGTCAATGCATCAATATTGGTGAAGTGTCTCAACATGGCGCCACGTGATTGAGTGAATTCGAAAGTTATCATATATCATTGATGTTGGAGTTTATAATTCAATTTCACACCCAATTAGAACCTAAGAAAATCACTCAGGTAGGGCCTACTTCCTGAATAATTAACGCCGATGATTAGATATTCAATGATTGGGACTTCGGACTAAACTTCATTATTTTTTTCTTGTATCAAAGAAGAATATTCCGTTTGATACTGGATGATTGCATACCATGGTGGCTAATTCTTAGGATCTTTCACAAATTATACTCCTATAAATTATAGGCGTACTTGACTGAACTAGACTACTTTAGATTTGATTGACCCAGATCAGCTTGGGTTGGCCAGGATTAAGATAAAGCTTTAGTACTTATTATAACCAGAGATGGATCCATGAATTGCAAATCGGATGGGTTAAATTTACCTTAAGTACAAATGTATTAAGAAAATTTAGTAAATTTTGTGGATTTTGGTTGGTTTTTATAGATTTTTAGGCTTGGACAATAGATTTTAGGAACTAAAAACTAGAGATAACCTACAGGGATGGCTAAATTTTTTTTTCGGGTATATCATAAGCCCTAGTTTGTTATATTTTTATTTTATATAAGTATTTTTTAGCATATTTTCTTCATCGTATTTATAACTTTTTGTTATTATACGACATTTGAAATAGAGAAAATATTGGAATTATTGATAATATTGTTGAAATATTTGGAAGGTATTGAAGGGAAACAAAGAAAGAAAAAAGAAGAAGATATATAAGGAATTGAAGTTAAAAAAGAAAGTAATAATAAAATAAAAACATCCCATTTTGTGGGGCAGTGCACCTAACAAAATAAAAACACATCTCATCCCAACACATATCTCCCCCCTTTATCTTTTTTATTATATTTTCTCGTCTCTCTCTTTTTTAATCTCTCCCTCTCTTTTTATTATTATTTTTTCCTCTCTCTCTCTCTCTCTTTATTCTTTTTCCTTCTTCCTCTCTTCTTCTTTTCTTTCTTCTCTCTCCGTCTGCTCCATCTCTCTTTTCTTTCTTCTTGCAGCTTTGGGATGGGCTATCTCCATTAAGTTTTTTTTTCTTCTTAAGAATACTATATGGTATTACAAATACAAAAAATATTCGTATGAGTTGTAGCCCAGACAGCCCACTATGTGGATCCATCCCTGATTATAAGAAGTCAATATTAAAGTGGATGCTGAGCATTTTAGTTATTATCATACGTTTTATTTTATTTTAATCTTAGGGTTTGTTCGGAACTGTTTATGAATGGGTTAAGAATGCTTCATGACAATCGAAACCGCTTCTAAACGTGTTTGATAGAAAAACTTATTAAGTGTTCATACATAAGTATTCCCACACAGACCCTTACTCCTAAATAACCGCCTAACATTCTTTCGTTTTCATCTCACCTCTCTTCTAAGCTACTTGGATCTCTTTTCCCTAAACTCTTGGATTAATATTATCTTCACATAAACTAGCGTCATTTGAATAAAATTAAAGCGTCGTCAGTGTCACACTTTGTTCTTGCAACGTAAGTTTGTGTGTAAATTACGTGCATGATAAAGTGCTAATGTCGTGACTTGTGAAAGCAATTCCAGCAGCAAGGCTGGGGTGCGGGCTAGGGGGTTTGGGCCAAAAATGTGAATCCAGCAACAGAGGCTTGCCCGGGTAACAGGTGGACCCCAGCAGATTGGGCTGGCCCTCCGGGGAGGCTGGCCTGACTTGGAGCCCTAGTTTTGGATGATGTCAGCGCGCTACAGTGCCGCCCATAACCAGCAGCCACGTGGCGTCGTCTGTGCTCTCTGATCGGATTTTTTCCTCCAATCCAACGACAGGGAATTTTTGTGCAATAAAATAATGAAAAAAAACCCCAAAAATTAATGAATTTTTTTCTATAAATACCAACCTATACTCTTCACTTTTAGCACCAAATCCTCATACATTTTCGTCTCTTTGAACTATTATTCACTATCTATTTAATATTTTTTTCACTTTCAAGTTTTATTTTTCCGAAATCTTATCCGATTTTTTTTTTCCGATTATGATATATGAATTTTATAATAAAGATTGACACGTAAGAACCTAAAAATCTAATCCGAAAATATTATCAAAATTAATTGTTTAGGTAAAAAAATTGTGTGAAAAAAATAAAAAAATAAAAAATATTTGCTATAGTAAAGGGCAACTGCTAAAAACACATTTTTTTATATAAAAGCAGTTACTATTTACATAAATATTAATTGTCCTGGCAAGAGGTAAAGGGCTGCAATTGCTATGAGAAGCACTTGTTTGGTTTTGGTGGCAATTTTGATAACGCGGTGTTGACTTTGTTTGTTTGTTTGGAGACTTTTAGACCAGAGGAGGGTGGCGCCAGTCCAAATAGGTTGCGCCAGTGACACACGTTTGTAGAAAGGAGTGAGTTTTTGTTTTTTTTCCTCGAAAATCTTTTCTTGTTAGTTGAATTTGGGCCCATAAATCAATAAATTGATTTGTGATATCTTTGATGGGATATGCACCGGCAGCTTCCAGCCACCACATGCATAGGTGGAGCCACTTACTATCTATTTGAACATTTCTAATACTCTAGACCGTACTAAATTCAACTCTCATGACCAATAACTCTGAGTGAACAAGAAAATATGAATCCCTAGATTAGTTATTTATTTATTTTTAAGTGAAGATTAGTTATTTATAGATATTGAAGGAAAAAAACTCTATGTAGATAGCTATCCCTAAACCCTAAATCGGTGCCTAAAGTCTCACCGTTGCTCTTCCTCTTTTCTTTGCAGATAGCTATCTCCTCTGTCGAAATGCCACAAGACTGAATGCATAATCACTTCTAATTTGAGTCCAAAATTCATCATATATTTTTGGGCATCAACATAAATCATCATATCTATTTTTTTAGTCACAAACAATAGAACGTTTATGAAACTATTTTTCTAATGTAATTCTCAATATATTATCAAATTAATCACAAATATTATATTCTTTTTTATTTTTCAATTGAATTTGTGATAACCATCACTAGGGGTTGGCACAATCTAAATCTCAGCCGAATTAATTACAATAAAATGATTTAATTCAGCTCAAATTTGACAAAAATTTATGACAGCTTGGTTTGGTTTGGTCACTTTGGCCTACTTATTTTTTAAAACAACAACAAAATTAATAACTTGTTACATTATTTTATTTTATTTTTTAGCGTATCAAACCATCCTAAAATTTATCATGTCATAAAATTGTCAATAACTAATATAGTTACAATTCAAATATCAATAACTTCAAAGTTCCATCAAACTTCAAATTCAACATCCTTATTTAATTATTATCGAATGAGAGAACTACACATGTAAAATAAAATAAATTGAAATATAAAAAAAAGATAGCAGACAATCTGGTTCAATTTAGGGCAAACCCGTTTGATTATTATCATGCGAACCGATTTGATTTTTAAACTATTTGACAATTTTCTTGGTTAAAACAAAACTAAACCGATTATTACAATTTGGAACAATCGATTTAGCCAATTCGAACGGATTGATCCCTACCCATCACTGCAGTCAAATGATGGCTTTGGTAGATATTTGGGCCTCAATGCAGACTTTGGTGCCTCTAAGAGAGCAGTTTTTGATGATGTGCGTAAGAAAATAGGCTCGAAATTGATGGGTTGGTCGGAACAATTTTTATCGCAAGCGGGTAAAGAAATCCTTAGTACAGTAGTGGCAATGGCAATGCCCAATTAAGCCATGTCATGCTTCAAACTGCCTGTTAGCTTATGCAAGGAGATTGAGAAAGATATTGCAAGATATTGGTGGCACAACAATAAGGAACAAAAGGGTATTCATTGGGTTAGTTGGCAACGGCTGAGCTTGCTGAAATATGCTGGTGGACTGGGATTTCGTGATTTGATTTGCTTTAATTTAGCTATGTTAGCTAAAATTGGGTGTCGAATTGTGCAGCATCCTGAGTCACTACTTGCGCATGTTCTACATGATAAGTATCCAAAGGGTGCAAGGTGCTTGAAGCCGGTTTGAGATGGATGGCTACCCAAGCCGTAAACTTTTAAGGTTCTCTCTCGACACCCGGACTGCATGGATTTGGCAAGGTGCTTGCTCATGCGAACTAATGAATATCAGGAGGCTCATTCAACAACCATGGTGCTCAGAAGTGAAATGTTAAGACCACCAGACCAAACCAGGCCCCTTAGGAGAACTTGGCAGAAACCCCCCTCCGGGTCTTTTAAAGCCAATTGTGATGGGGCCTGGGTGGCACAAACGAAAAGGGGAGGGATTGGTTGGGTTATCCGGTCTTTGTGGGGTGAGCTCTTGCCAGCAGGTGGTCAAAGGATTGCTTGGTGTGGCACAGCACTTGCGGCCGAAGCAGAGGCTATTCGAGATATGCTGGGTATTTGTCTGCATAATGGGTTCTTGAGCTTAGAAGTAGAGTCTGATTCACAAGAGATTATTCGGATGATAATAGGTGACTGGACGAGTGCGCCAGAAATAGTAGGTATCCTTTTTGACATCCAAGTTTTAGCTCGACATTTTCAGCGGGCGGAGTTTCGTCATATCCCACGCCTTTGTAACAAAGTAGCACATGATGGGGCTGCTTATTTCTCCGAAGTTGGGGGCTCTCATGTCTGGGACCAATCTGGCCTAACGTGGCTCCATTATGTTTTAGCTCTTGATGTTTTTGATGACTTGAATTAATAAAACTTCCAAACTTCCGGCCAAAAAAAATTAATAATGCTATGATACGAGCAATAACACTTCCATGTGACATAACATTATTATTGGTCAGAAATAATAAAACAGTGTTATCCATGTTGCAATTAAGTTTTTCTCCTTTTAAAACACATACAAATTGTCCCTTTTTTTAATTGTTAAGTTCTTTTACCATAAGACCCTTGAAGATTTGCAACCCAATGGCAAAATTGAAAATTTTCCCAATTCCTCGCGGTTCTATATAAATCGGAGGGGACCTCCCCAACCAACTGGTATTATTTTTCCACTCTTCCATTCCTCCTCTGTCCAATCTCTGGATATTTTCTGAGCTCACAAACACCTCCATTTCTTTCTCTGCTCTGTTCTTCAAGAAAAGGTTTTGCCTTTTCTCCATAGAAATGAAGACAAAATGTGGTTTATAGCCTAGCTAGCTGAAAACAAACCGTCCTTTCAGAATTTATACAAACAGTCCTCTCTCTCTCGCTCTCTCTCTGTTTTCTAAACAGTATCTGTGTGGTTGCCAAAAAATCACTGTGGAAGAGAGAAAAGCAGTGCAAGATTACAAATTGTAAGTAAACATGTCCAAAGCCTAAAGGCCAAGTTTTTATTTTTGGTCAGTTCTTTTATCTCAAGTAAATTGTTGAACTTGTGACTTGATATTAGATTAATTTTCATATCTCATTTCTTTTTTCTTGTGGGTATGTCTGAAATTATATGTAAATTTATTTCGAGTGTATATATGTGTATGAACTAGTGTCCATCCAAAGGAGATGGCTTTGATAATTGTTGGGTGATTGCGGAGAAACCAACATTATCTCTATCTCTAGGAATGAGGGTAGATAAAAATATCCAAAATTAGTAAAAAGTTTAGGTAAATTTTATAAAAGGCAACGTCTTGAGATTTTCTCAAATTTCCCATCACAGATAAATGGTAAAGTGTAAATTTGATGGGTGGCAGAGGGACACTATGGTCTTTTGCAACCCAACCTATAACATGCAGCCTCAGCATAGCTTGCGGTGGTTTCCTTGAAGAAGCCCCTCAAGCCAGACAGACCTTGTTCAATATAGGAGGCCTTTACGTAGTAGCTTCGTATTTTTATTTTTCCTTTTATCTTTCTTCATCTTAAGTTAGCTGACTCTACTTGTAAGTCTTGTATAAGAATTATTTTCAATTTGGTTTTGTTTAGATAGTCAAATGCCAATCTGGGTCCACATTTGAAAACTTTTCTAAATATCTTGTAGTTTGGCCTCTACTTTCCACCGTATTTATGTTTTTTTCTTCTAATTCTAATTTGTAAAAATGAAATAGGATTATCTTGTCATACTGTTTAACATGTTATACATTCAAATAAAATTCACATAGCAGGCATGAGTTTAGCCAAGTTGGCTAGAGCGGATGTGTTCTCCACTGTGCCCCCGAGTTCAAATCCTCCTCCTCCCCGTAGTTTAGATTATATTAAAGTAGAATATCTCTTGTATAAAAAAACACCTAATTAATTGTAAAATTAGGAGCCTGACAATCTGTTTTAGTCGGTCTAGCAATATAATATACTAATAACAGGGGCAGTCAGACACGTTTCTCTATGTACAAATTTCCTTCAAAGTTCAAAATATATATTAATGTTTTGGAGGGGGCAGAAGCTGATTCTGGGTTGCAATGAAACAATGGGAAAAGGATTTAGGCCCACTTCAAAACCTTTTAGGACTAGCTTTGTTGTCTTCGTATTGAAATTGGCTTAAACTTGGAATCCTTCAATATTCAACAGGCCAAAATAAGTAATATATATTCTTTTTCAGTGGAGTTAATTAATTGTGATCCTGAATCCTAGTTAGTTTGGCCTACAACGTTATGGTTTTGGTTTGTTTATTATGTTTGTAATTGTCTGCTAAAGTCTTACGTTGAACACAGAGATTCAGAAGTTGCATATTATACAAGGAAACGTGCAACTATATAGAGCCCAGGATTCTTGTGAGTCTTCTGAAAACTTGGACCGTAAATGGGAAACCAATTTTTTTTTTTTCCCAAGCGAAATACAATTATGCACCTAAGCATGACGGACCTAATCTAGAATATGCGAACTAGACAAGTTGTTTGTTAGATATTTTGTGCATCACATTCCTGGTGCTTTCTTGAAGTACATTTCGGTGGCATATTGACGGCGACTGCTCAAGTTTTTGTCAAAAAGGTGATGATTTGATTACATGATTTATGGTTACTATTAAGTTACTATGCTGTTAAAAAGATTGCAAATTTGATTTGATAGCGTAGTTCTTGGGGTCCTAATAGTTAATTTGCATCAATGGTGGCTTTCGTTGTTTTTGCTGTAATAAAAAAGATATTTGCACAAAGATATCACTCCTCCATGAATCGTATACATGGAAGAAAATGATTTTGAGTAGTTACTTAGCAGAAACCTTATTTCTTTTCCTTTTGGTCCCTTATTTTTTCCTTACCTTCTTGGGGGTTGTTGAGTCTGGAATGTATGGTTTTAACTATGCTGATGTATGCATATCACATTCTGCAGGAATTCCATATCTTTAGTTCCTTGTCTTTGATTGGTGCAAAATGGTTACAAATGCCACAGTTGCAAGTGCATGCCCAGCACCCATGAAAGCAACATCCAATGGGGTCTTTCAGGGTGATAATCCTCTGGATTTTGCGCTCCCTCTTGCCATCTTACAGATATGTCTTGTGGTTGCACTTACACGGATTCTTGCTTATCTTCTCCGGCCACTAAGACAGCCTCGTGTTATTGCAGAGATTGTGGTAAGTACATAGCATGTTTGTATTGTTTTTGTTTGCTTTGTATACTTTGGTGGCCCTCAAAATGATAGTCAATTCATGTATGTTGTAATCAAATTTATGTTAATTTTTCATTTTTTTTATTTTCCATTGGTTGAATATATTATTGCAAACCAATCCCTTAAGAGAGGGAGAGAGCTGGAAGAATAGAACTATCATGCACCCTAAAAGTGACTTAGAGAGGATCTATGCATTTCACAAAAATATGTGGAAGTGCTAGTCAGTTTGCTCTCATAGTGAACACATATCGGTGCTTACTGTTATACATTTTTTGAACCCATTCTCAATTTGCATTATGTCTCCAGTAGTTTCCTATTTGTTTGTATGCAATATGGGACCTGGTTTTACTAATGTTGCACTATTTAATATTTTGAAAAACAATTCACAAAAAGAAATTTCCCTTGTCTGAAAGGCAGATGTTTTTGTAAGTAAAACCATATAGTTCAAACAATTATAATTCCTCTTTTTCATTAATAAGAAATAAAAACTAACAAAGGTCTTACTTTAATATGTGGTTCCATTTGCAATTTTGTTTAAGAGGAAAAATATCCACATCCTCATGATAAGAGAGAGTTTAACTTAGTATTGTTTTTTCTGCAGGGAGGAATATTACTTGGCCCCTCAGCTCTTGGTCACAGCAAAAATTACCTGGATACAATTTTTCCAAAAAGAAGTCTCACGGTGTTAGATACTTTAGCCAATCTTGGTCTTCTCTTCTTTCTTTTCCTGGTAGGCTTGGAGTTAGATCCTAAGTCCATCCGCCGGACTGGAAAGAAGGCTCTATGCATAGCTGCTGCAGGAATTACTCTACCTTTTGTATTAGGAATTGGTACATCATTTGCCCTCCGAGCAACTATATCTAAAGGTGTAGATGGACCCCCATTTCTTGTTTTCATGGGAGTGGCTCTTTCTATAACTGCCTTCCCTGTTTTGGCTCGTATTCTGGCTGAGCTGAAGCTTTTAACCACTGATGTTGGCCGAATGGCCATGTCAGCAGCAGCAGTCAATGATGTGGCTGCATGGGTTCTGCTTGCTCTTGCCATTTCCCTCTCCGGCACTGGCCGTTCTCCCCTGGTTTCACTATGGGTTTTCTTGTGTGGGTGTGGTTTTGTTCTCGGTTGTGTATTTTTTGTTCGACCTATCTTTAAATGGATGGCACAGCGCTGTCCTGAGGGTGAACCAGTAGAAGAATTGTATGTGTGTGCTACTTTAGTTGCAGTTTTGGCAGCTGGGTTTGTCACTGATACTATTGGAATTCATGCTCTATTTGGTGCATTTGTGCTTGGAATTCTTGTTCCAAAAGAAGGACCATTTGCAGGCGCTCTTGTTGAAAAAGTTGAGGATCTTGTATCTGGTCTATTCCTCCCATTATACTTTGTCTCAAGTGGATTGAAGACCGATGTAGCTACAATTCGTGGAGCTCAGTCATGGGGCCTCCTAGTCTTGGTCATTTCAACGGCCTGTTTTGGGAAGATCATTGGGACTATAGGTGTTTCCCTCCTCTGCAGAATGCCCTTTCAAGAGGCTCTGGCTCTGGGATTTCTCATGAATACAAAAGGGTTGGTGGAGCTCATTGTCCTTAACATTGGCAAAGACAGAAAGGTAAAAACTTATCATTTTCCTCTACTGATGACTATCAAGGTTATCTGTAATATTTGTACATGCATGTAACTTAATGTGCTAGCTTTCGGATATTGCAGGTTTTGAATGATCAAACATTTGCTATTATGGTTCTCATGGCTATCTTCACAACCTTCATTACAACACCTATAGTAATGGCAGTATACAAGCCAGCTAAAAGAAAGAGCAATTCAAATTACAAGTACAGAACTATTGAAAGGAAAGACCCAAGTACTCAGCTCCGAATTTTGACCTGTTTCTACAGTACAAGGAACCTCCCCACAATGATTAATCTCATTGAGGCTTCTCGTGGGACTGAAAAGAGGGAACGGCTTTGTGTGTATGCAATGCATCTTATGGAGCTTGACGAGAGATCTTCTGCAATTGTGATGGTTCACAAAGCGAGAAGAAATGGGCTACCCTTTTGGAATAAGGGGTCAGATAACAATCAAGTTGTTGTGGCTTTTGAAACCTTTGAGCAGCTGAGTCGGGTGGCTATCCGCCCAATGACAGCAATCTCTTCCATCCCTAGCATGCATGAAGATATCTGTGCAAGTGCTGAAAGGGAAAGGGCAGCAATGATTATTATCCCATTCCACAAGCACCAGAGGTTGGATGGGGCATTGGAGACAACTCGAACTGAATACAGAGGGGTCAACCGGAGGGTTCTTGAGAACGCACCATGCTCAGTTGGGATTATGGTGGACCGTGGTCTTGGTGGAACCACTCATATATCTGCCAGCAATGTTTCTTCAACCATAGTTGTCCTATTCTTTGGGGGTAGTGATGATCGTGAGGCCCTTGCTTACGGTATGCGAATGGCTGAACACCCAGGTAACAATTTAACTATTGTTCACTTCTTAGCAAGTCCTGAACTTGAGAAGGAGATTGTCAGAGTAGATATAAACGATGGCTCTAATGCTTCAGCCGGGCCAGGGAATGAGAAGCTCATTTCTGAGCTGAAGCAGAAGATTTCAAATGACGGCTCAATCAAATATGAGGAGAGAACAGTGAGAAATGCTGCAGAAACTACTGATTTGATTCGCGAGTTTAATCGTTGTAATCTGTTTTTGGTTGGTCGACGGCCTGAGGGTCAAGTAGCTGCTGCTTTGAATGTGAATTTGAAGGTAAAGAGTGACTGTCCTGAACTGGGGCCTGTAGGTAGCTTGCTAACCTCTCCAGATTTCACAACTGCAGCATCAGTCTTGGTAGTGCAGCAGTATCATGGCCTGGCAGTGCTTCTGGGCCCAGTTTCTTCATCGAAGGTGGTTGTGTTGCCTGAGGAAGAATCAGAAACCAGCTGATAACTTCTTCCTAGCCTGTTTGGATTCATTGTACAGATTATGATAAAAATTAAGTTTAGATAAATGTCTATCCTTAGATCCATTTAAGATTGTTGCTTCTCAAAGATCACAAGTTTTAATTATCAATTGCCACAGTTTATGCTTATGGATCTGTAGATTCTTGCCACCACTAAAGATCATTACCTAAAAGAAAAACAAAATGATTTTAACTTGCTATCTTTTCTATTTTCTTGTAATCTTCACACAGAGAATTGTCCATTTGCACTATTCTTCTAGCCTATGAATGAAGAAGGCTACTCTTGCATTATTCTTTCATGTAATAAATTAATGTGATAATATTCTTCTAACCAATAGAGCGAGGAGCCAATATCATCTGTCACATTGGGTATTAAGGGCTAATTAGGATTGGTTATGCATTAAGTTGCAGTATCTTTGGGATATGCTCAAGAAAACTTGTGAAAGTCAAGGGAGGGAAAATTAATACATGCAGATTAGAGTATTGCAATGACCTCTCCAGATTCTCTCTGCTCTGAGTCAACTCTATGGGTTTAGAATAATGTTAGAAATGCCAATGATTGGTCTACACTTTGCCCACAAGCAATCTCTGGCATTTTCAATTGCATAAACAGAAGTGGTTTTGCATGCCACTGTTTTTTAATTGATCATAACTTTACCTATTCCTGATCCTGCTATATAATCATAATTTAGTATTGAATGGTTTAGTCAAATGTGAATGGATTGCTACAAGAAAAAGTCAAATGTAGTTTGCAGGTCTACTTATTATATTAATTATTAATTTGGTCTTCAATTCCAAATGTCAACTCTGGATTGCTACAAGAAAAAGTCAAATGTTATTGGAATTCTAGACTGGCAATGTTGTAAATTGGTAAATGTTGTTGCCGCCTTGCCTTATGTTTCTTTTGTTGGCAGATGATTGTAAGATGCAAAAATATTTCTAGATGAGTTGTTTGTTGAGACTTTGAATGGCTGAGAGTTACCAACTTTACAAGGTGACCTCAGATTCTTTTCCCTGATGCAGAGGCCATTCCATATTTTCCATTAGTTTCACCAGATTATAAATCCTAGCTTTCTTGGAGATTTGATTAAAACGTTTATTTTTCTTTTCTTTTTTTCTAAAAAATAAACTTCAACAATATAATCAAAGACATCAATATAACATCTAAAGTACCAATCCCAAAAAAACAACAAACTAACACGTTAAAAACAAAATTAGAGCTGACAAAAACCGCATTAAAACTATTAGCACACATCACCATAATTAACCATTTCTTGTTTATTATTTGTTCTTTTTCTTTCAATTTTTTGTTTATGTTACCATTACAGATCTTTACAGCCTGCAGGGACATAAACAATCAAATAAACATTTTAAAATCGATTTGAAAACTCAAATTTAGAAAAACTTGTGGCGGCACAGATGCTCTATTTCTACAATTGGCAAATACATGCACACAAGCATGTTCATGTTTGTAATACGCAGTCAGAGATGAACCGGAACTAATAGATGCAGGTTGCGAAGCAATTCCCACAGACTCTCATTCGTTACACTAGGAAGAAGACTTGCTCCTTCTGAGCTTCCTTTTTTATGAAGACGATTCTCCGATCGGCAAATCGTCTGATTCTCTACGTAGCTTGAAGGTTCATTGGTCACCTACGAAGCCGACAACCCCGCCTAGCTCTAGTAATAGGGGTTGTCGGCGTATTGTCTGATTCTATACTATCACTCCTTCCTATATTTTCTCCTTTTAATACTTGGCTTTTGATTTATTTCTGTTTATAACATATAATGGTAATTATTGTATTTATATGACATAATATCTCAAGCTTTCGATATTATATAAATTCAAATAAATTTAAAACTTCAAGAATTAAGTGAGTTAGTCAATGCAGTGTGGTCACCCTCACCAGTTGTCCGCTATTGAGAGAGGCTACATAGATAGAGAACATCGATCAACAGGAAATCAATTAAGAAAGAGACAAAAAAGGACAAGTTACTAAGTTGGAGGGTTTCTTTTCATTGCTAGCATTCCCCTCGACAATTTAGAGGGGGTTGACTCTTATTTCTGGGGCCCACCTAAAGTGCAAGCAAAAACAGCAGATTCCAGAACTGCAAGCAAAAACAGTAGAAGGCAGGCACCAAATCTCAATCACACATTCCGAGTGGTGGGTGTAAGATGTAATGTAGTGTCAAGTCATTCAAGGTTTCTTTTTCCTCTTTTTTCTGAATCTTAAAGAAACATACATATATAAATATATATTTTTTAAATCATTAAAATATTGAAGAAGTGAAAACAGACAAAAAAGTCATTGCCTTAATTGGCTTTGCTACCTATATATTTTTTTTCCCCCCCACTTGACAACTCAACTCTCTACTTGATGGCTCTCTTTAGAGTAAGCACAAACAAATGCTATGAACCATCCAAGTTATAATTTTTTTTCAAAATAAAAATAAAAAGCAAAGAAAGAGAAAGTCACCCAAATCTTGTTAACCCCACCTGTCGTTGCCTTGCCCTCTCTCTCTCTCTCTCTCTCTCTCTCTCTCTGGGTCTGTTATTATTAAAACTGGTAGCACAATCTCCAAGGTCAGGCTCTGACTGCAGTGACAATTCAGAGCCATTACTGAAATCTCTGTTTTTCAGCCAAGACCAGGCGGTTCATATTTGATCCATGCCAACCTGCTGACCCAATAAACAGGTAAAGCTATTATCTTTCTTATTTTGTTGAATTGGAGTATGTTTGGCCTTTGGATGATTGATGATGGGTTTTGTTTTAAAAATGTGTTCAAGCGATAAAGATGAGTTCTTTTACAGAAATCTCAAATGGATAAATGTCAGTTTTTAAAAAGACTGTTTGCTGATTGAGTTTTGTCAACTTCTTCATACAGGATAGGTGCAGTAGAATGCCTGGTTATTATATTCTATGGTTTTTGAAAATTTTCATTTAAATCTGCCGACTTTGATTAGGATCTTAGAGTTTAATCAAATTTTACCAGTTGGGTTGGACTTGTTTTCTTGATTTCAATCTGAGTTTGACTGGATTTAGGACTCTTAATTAACCAAGCAATAAACCGTGGTTAATTTGGTAATTGGCTTGTTATAAAGGAAGTGATACTATTTGATATACCTCTGCGATAGTGACCTAAAAGAAAAAGAAAACAATTTTTTAGTTTTTAATCTCAGCCATTAGGTCTAAAGCGATCTTTAGCAAATGAGATTAAGTTAATTTGAGGTTGTTTAGGTGCTGTGCTTGTTCTCATGCTACGCGAGATGGAGTTTGGAGGAGATAATTCACTTATTTTTTGGCGCATAGCACGGTGCCCAATTAACTACTTGCCAGTGCTCTCTGTTGCACATATTTGTTTGTATGTATATATATATATAATGTGCATGTGTGGTCCTGTTCTGTATAATTTGATCATTTTGTAATTGGAAATCTGATACTGGTTTCTGTTGGCAGATACTCAAAGTCAAAATTTCTGTTTTGCTTCGGGAACTTTGTTTGGTAGAGATGGCTTCCAATGCCACAGCAGGACATGCATGTCCACCTCCAATGAAGGCTACATCAAACGGTATATTTCAGGGTGACGATCCTCTTCATTTTGCACTACCTCTTGCTATTTTGCAGATATGTATTGTTGTCATCGTCACTCGCGGCCTTGCCTACGTTCTGAGGCCATTAAGACAGCCACGAGTCATTGCTGAGATTGTTGTAAGTTATTTCTTCTTTCTCTTTGGGATTAAATTTGATCAAAGTGCAGTTGATTTTGTCCATGATGGTATTGCTATACGCACACTCAGTGTTAATTCCTGGGAGTAGTTCTAAGGAGAAGAGCTGTAGCCCTTCAGTGTTGAGTTTATTGCCTTTGAAGTTCGATGGCTTCTAACTTTCTTTGCTTTGAAAGTTCGGGGGTGTTGGATTGTAATTCATCTGAAAAAAGAAACTGTAAATCAGCAGTGCCTTCTGATAATTCAAAAATGTTTCTGATAAAGATTATATAATATTTTATTTTGAATTTGAATGATTTCTAGGCTCAGTAAACCTGTATTTTTCTTTGCTTTTTTCTCTGTACTGCCTGAAAATGTGTACATGACGTTTAGGTATTGATATTGGAAGCAGGCATGTTTCCTTAGGAAACCTTTTGGATGTTTGTTTTTCAGTCCCCTGCTGTATTGAAATTCACTTGGCAGACAGGAGAATGTTGTTTAATGGTTCCACAGAATTGATTTTTCAGAATTTAACTGAACCTAAAAACAGAATACCATGCTGATTGTGAGTTGTGATTTCTGGTTTGGCAGGGAGGAATACTACTTGGGCCATCAGCTCTGGGACGGAACAAAAGTTATCTCCAGGCAATATTTCCACCGAAGAGTATCACAGTTTTGGACACCTTAGCAAACCTTGGTCTCCTATTCTTTCTATTCCTTGCAGGACTAGAGATAGATCCTAAATCCATCCGCCAGACTGGGAAAAAAGCCCTTGCTATTGCCATAGTAGGAATAAGCCTCCCATTTGCATTAGGAATCGGTTCATCATTTGTCCTCCGAGAAACCATAGCCAAAGGGGTAGATGCTACCGCATTTCTTGTATTCATGGGTGTGGCCCTTTCAATCACTGCTTTTCCTGTCTTAGCTCGTATTCTGGCTGAGCTGAAACTATTGACCACTGACATTGGAAGAATGGCTATGTCGGCTGCAGCAGTTAATGATGTGGCCGCCTGGATTCTACTCGCTCTTGCTGTTGCCCTATCTGGAAGTAACCAATCTCCTCTTGTTTCATTATGGGTCTTCTTGTCTGGGTGTGTGTTCGTTATTTGTGCAATTCTCATTGTTCCCCCAGTATTTAAATGGATGGCTCAACGATGTCACGAAGGTGAACCTGTTGACGAGATCTACGTATGTGCTACACTAACTGCAGTTCTGGCTGCTGGGTTAATTACTGATACAATTGGAATTCATGCCATGTTTGGTGCTTTTGTGGTTGGAGTTCTTGTTCCAAAGGAGGGGCCATTTGCAGGTGCTCTTGTGGAAAAAGTAGAAGATCTTGTATCTGGTCTCTTTCTACCATTGTACTTTGTGTCAAGTGGACTGAAGACTAATGTGGCCACAATTCAGGGGCTTCAGTCATGGGGTCTTTT